CATCATATTTATCAGAGTTGAAAAAGTTTCCTAGCTTTTACTTATCCATGTTTAATACTACCTGAATATTAAACTAAATAAATAATATCTCATTCACAAGTGAATAACTATGATAGTTACATCTTTAGGAGAATAAAGAAAATTTGTGACAGAGAAGAGTATGACAAAAAACGAACATCCATTTTTGTTATTTAATCCTGTCCTGCAGCCAAGCCAATGATTGGGAGATTAGATGTTCTGAGGATTGTGGAACCACCTCTAAACTGCTGTTGTTCCCAGATCCACCCTGATCCTGGATGGTTGCACCTATTAGGGTCCCAGCTATAGGCAAATAGTACCCCCAACCCTCTGAAAATAAAAAAATTCAACAGTACATTTTTATAATAAAATTTTTGTAGTGAAATTACCAGTTTCATCTACAAACTACATAGCTAAAAAATATATATATGTTTACTCTGAACATATGAGATTATGTACAGAATATCTGTAGCGGAAGGCATAAAATTGTGTTCAAAATATTTAGATTCCGGCATTAATTTATCCATAGAGGTTGATATGCCTCTAAACAAAATCAACCAACACTTTAAACATCCACAAATGAACATTATGTTGACTAGTTAACTGCAATAATCACAGTTTTTAGTTTTGATGCTTTTCAACTGTTTTACCCCAAACAAGGCAATAAAGCCACTAAGACACAAAAGGTTACTGAATGTGAAAGAATGAGAAAAAAAAATACTATTAAGGAGAGAGAACAATAAAAGAACATGAATTTAGAAAACAAGATAACAATTGACATTGCATTTAAATTTTTGAAAATCAATGAACTGTAAAGTAAAAAGCCATAAAGATTTCTATAAGTGAGAATTGCAGGAGAATTGTTAGCATAGAACTTATGAATATATGTAGCAATTTCATCTCTAAAATGATCAGACATAGCTGCTAATCTAGTACCATGCTTAAATTCTTGAAGTCGAGGTATCAAAGTGAAAGTTCATTCAAACAATTACAATGAAAATATTTATAGAAAATGCTATATTACAGTGGTAGGGAAGTGACTGAAGCAAAGATGCCAGTTCAGAACCAATAACATTGCAGATTCTTTTTTGGATTTTATCAAGAATTTCTAAATATATATCAGAAGAAGCAGACCATACGTGGCAGTAATATTCAATGCATGGATAAATGTTAGACTTATAGATATGTAAAATAGATTCTAGTGAGAAAAACTGTCTTGTATGACACAGAGAACTGACTTTCCTAGCAACAGACTTAGCAATTGATGCAATATAATCTTTCCACTTCATGTCAATGGAAAACAGGCATTCTATTGATGTCACCATGCTGTGGTGAGGTCAACATAGTAGGTATACAATTTACTATTGGAGAGGTTTGCATTTTTATGGAGTTGCTTGATGACATATATATACCTTCATTACACCCCTTACCATAATAAAAATGAATGGTCTTCTTAAAAAGTGTTTTTATGATTGCTTTGACATGTCTACAAATGCTGATTGCTGCTTACTTTGAATGACTTAAAACTTACCATTTTTTTCTTTGTCTTAACAGCTTTCGTTGCTATATCATATTCTATTCTAATATGTAACATCTCTCATTTTGCCTGTTTTTTAATTACTTCTTTCAGCTCTTTTTTGTGTTGTATGTTCATGTGGTGCATATAATTGGTGAATGTATAATGCTAAACTTTTGGTTCATTTTCATGTTATGCATTCATATTCAGAACATTTTAAATTTTTATAAGTTTGTGTTCATGTAGTAAACATGAGGTGATCATGTAGCAAAGAATTAGTTTAAGTTCATGTGGTATATATAATTGTGAATGTATAATGCTAAACTTTTGGTTCATCTTATATTCAGGACAGGTTGTTAAAAACTGACATTTGTCGAGTTTGAAGAACTTTCCAGTTGAAAATAGTTCTTTCTTTCAGAGAAATCTCTGAAGGTCATTGTGAATGGTCAGTCTACTGAAGTCCATGAAATTAATGCACGTATCCACCAAGGCCCTCTCTTCTACCTGCTTTCTGCATTTCTATTAACCATCTGCTCAGGAGCATTCTCAGATCATTAGTAAACATCTATGCAGTTGATAACACAGTTTATGGATGCATTTCCAAAATGCAAAATATTTGGAGCATTACAACTGATATCACCTCGGACTGAGCTCTAACAGTTTAATGGAGAATAACTGGTTTTAGCTTTCATTACCTCAAAAACCAAGTTAGTATCATCTAATCATCACTTATCAGAACCTGAGTTGTCTTCTGTCATGTTGAATAGTTGCATTCTAAATGAGGCTCCATGCTTTGAACATCTATTTAGGTCTGAAGTTCACTCCAGACCTCAAATGAAAATCATGCATGCAATCCATTGCTAAAGTTACTGGATAAATGATCAGTTCATTCTTTTGTTCCAAAAAGTACTGAAATCCTTCAGCTATGCTTTATCACCGACCAGACTTGGAATTTTCTTCATTCATAATGAATTATCCTCATTTAATTCATATTCCATTTGTAAGGATCAAGTTCCACTCGACTTTTTACCAAAAACTGCTACTATGGTGAACAACCTTCTGCATGGATGCTTCCCTGAACATTATAATCTTAACCTCTTCAAGTCAAAGGTCAATCATTATCTATCCTTATTCTCATCATATTCACTTCCTACCACAACCTCTTACAGTCATATCCCACATCTCTTTCAGTAGCTCTCAAGACATATATTAAGGTAAATAATATATATATATATATATATATATATATATATATATATATATATATATATGAATAAATAAATCATTAAAGTCCAGAACAGCTATTCATGACTTGACAACACCTTCATTTGCAGAAACAATATGACACTGTTATTCCTTAAGGAAATGTCACTAAGTATCAGAAATAGACATTTTATGTTTGTCTGCTGATAACACAAATTCAGACTTTCCACAAGAATTTAGTTCTCCATCTTTTTCATGGGATGTGTTTTTAAGTACACAATCTGCCTGCAAAAGAATTAGTGCAGAAAATGTACAACTCCAAAATTTAAGATTGTTCCTCATTATATTTTTTTATTCTCACAGCAAGCCAAGGCCATCAATCTGTAAACAGAGAACCCTTCCTCTCCACTGGACTACTCAGCTGAATTTCCTGTTGCTTGATGTTTTTAAATGTAAAGGTTTAGAAACCTTGTCAAATAATAATGGTACAAATTAATTCTGATGAAAAATAATATTAATGAGTATTGGAATAGCATTTTAACCATTCCTGAGTTAAATAGAATAAAAAGGCAAACATCAAAACATAAATCATTTTAACCATTACCTAGCAGAACAATGAAAATAACTAAAAATAATAATGCACATAGACAAACCATAGATCTATATATCTAAGATCAAATTGCTACTCAGAGTTTCTCACATACATGATGGTTATGTGTACTGGTTGATGGTTTGTGAGAATTTCTAAATACTAATTTGAAATTAGTCTCCGTTTTGTGTGATTTCACTGGTCATTTTGATTTTCTGTAGTCACTTCAAGTTTATTCATTTGGTAGAGTCATAATAAGTACAAGTTTTACCAATAGTTTGGTTTCTTGTAGTTCTCTCTCTTTCTCTCTCTCTATATGTGTTTCATTGAATAATATAGACATATTGTGTGTATTTTTATACTGATCCTTTCCAATTGTCTAAATTTCTTGATATTGAGATGGAATTTGAAAAGGAAGTCACCATAGTTTTTGTTAACCCAAGTACTTTTGATCTTTTCCAAGATCATCTTCAGGAGTAAACTTAATGCCATTTTACATTTATAGCAATTTCCAGTCAGCTCCCTTACATTGAAATTCTTGTTTTGCCAAAAATTCCAATTGATAAATTTTAGAATAATTACAGAACACATGTTTTTAAAAATCACCATCACAACAGAATGCAGAATTTTATTGCAGTCACAATAAGTTTGTTCTTGTAATTTACCACTGGAGATGATCTTGGAAAAGATCAAAAGTACTTGGATTAATAAAAACTACAGCACCTTCCTTGATAAATTTCATCTTAACATCAAGAAATTAATCAGACAGCTGGAAAGGATCAGTATAAAAAATAAGTCTATGTATATATTATTCAATAAAACAGGTTTGAATGAAGATATGCTGCCTATATATATATATATATATATATATTTTTCTTTTTCTTACACATTAAATATTTCATGCATGCTTCAGACATTAGCATAGACTATTTTAAACTTTTAGCTTCCTAAAGAATACCAGATTATAGTCAAAGAGATCATATCTATCACACAAACATCACATGATTCTTGAAAATGACAAAGGTGCTCGAAAGTAATGGAAAAAAAAAACAACAGAGCAAACATGAACTTTGAACAGTTTATCCATTATCAGTTTACAATTTTAATCTCAGTATACAACAAGACCTTATCTGAAAATTGGGAAAATACAATTAGAAAATTAAGCAGCAAGACCTTGTCAGTTATATTTATTAATCAAACTTGTTTGGATGAATACTTGCTTCTTTAATATACCATATATATATATATATATATATATATATATATATATGATGAAAATATAGTTTTACGGTCTGCTCTATTTATAGATAAACGTGTACAATATTACTACTGTACTGATGCGGCATTCACCCTGGGCGGATTGAGCCGGCTTCTTCCTGTTATGAGAAGAAGATTCTTGGGATAAATTACAGAAGTAGGGTACCCAGGCCTACTCGGATAACGTTCTTGCTTGCCACAGGGTTCCCACAGACGCAGAGACAGGAACGACCAGAAGCTGCCGGTTACCGATGCAGACGCTCCTTGGATTTTCACCAGAGCCCTTGTTAGCCGGCATATGTGTCAGACCTGTCCGCCTTGGGTGACCCTACCTGGAACGAAGTTCCCGGCGGCATAGCTCTGACACTACCGTTTACACCCCCCCACCGACTGTGAGGTAAGGGTTGGACTTTGGGGGCTTACAGTACCAGGTGTTCTCAAGCGATCCCCCATCTAAGTACTGACCTGGCTCTATGCTGCTTAACTTCGGTGATCGTATAATATTAGTGATACAGTGTATCAAAATATAAATGTCATGAACATTATGTTCAAGAATGAAACAAACTGTCACCACTCGGTGTTGACCTCAGTTCATATATATATATATATATATATATTACTAAAATTGGGTGTTTCTGTCTGTGTCATGATCACTTTTCAACCACAAGCCTCCTGAGGTAGTTTTGGTATGAAAGCTCTTGAAATACATTTGTGACATAGGCTATGTGAAGCTGACCTTGGAGGATATTTCTGTTCTAGCATTTCAAGCCAAAGAAATGAATTTTCAGCCTAATGGCACAATGGTTTTTGAGTAACATCTATGTTTCTGTATATAAATAATGTAATTTTTCTTTTTATTTGTTGTATTGTGTTAGAAGTATATTCATGTAAGGTATTTTTCTTTGAGCAATCCCTGATTGTGTGTGTGTGTATATATATATATATATATATATATTACAATGAATCATTCATACAAAAAGTAGATTAGTAAAGTTAATGATATAAAATGGCGAAATCCCTTTGGTAACAAAATTTTAAAGGTACATTAACGTACAAATCACTCAGTGAATGTTATGATCCTTGGTTTTAAAAATTATAAGCTGTGTAAGGTCTTTCTTTAATACACAAGTACTTTCGACTGTACATTTGAGTGATTTGTAAGTTAATGCACCTTTAAAAGTTTGTTACCAAAGGGATTTTGCCATTTTATATCATTAACTTTACTAATCTACCTTTTAAGAATAATTCATTGTAATATAAATTGAACTGCACCACATATTTGATATATATATATATATATATATATATATATATATATATATACTTATGTGACAGTTTTCTATCTCACCAAAATATAAGTGAATTTCTTATCGCTATATCATGAAATCTGGTGATGTAGAGATGAAATTTTCAGTTATTGTCTTTTGGAAAAAACTTGTATAATATGCCTTACTCTTTATTCATCTATCTTGTACTGTGACAACAGACTAATATATCGCCATGTGATACAATTAAGATCTAATATATTACAATTATCCAACACACTCAACTTGACAAATAAAGCTTTTTTATGCTTTCAAACAATTACAGCTCAACGATAAATTGATAGTAATTTTGCGGTCATATTGTACTTGTAAATGATCAGTTTTTGATGGCAAGGAGAAACTAATGTAAAAATGATTTCAAGTGCCCCACAGTAAAAACAGAAAAAAAAAAAAAAAGCAATTAAAGTAACCATTCTTTAGAACGGTTAAATATAAATATAGCATCAATATAAACCATTTTAACTATTCCACAGTAAAAGGAACACACATGCCCAAAGATAAAAATAACTTGAGAATAAGTTAGATTTGTTTTCCTGCAGGAGATGAAGAAAATTAATTACCATAGCTAAAATTATTATTTTTTGAACTGTGAGTAAATTGTGAAAAGTTATACTAAAAATATCTAACATTCTTCTTACATCACAGGACATTTCAAGTGAACTTAAAACACACAGATAAATTGTTTTCTTTTGTTAATGTTTAGCATTTCTGTTTTGTTCTGTTTCACATATGCTAAAAAATAATCCAAAATAAAATCTCCTTGATAAAATCCAAAGAAGAATCAGCAATATTATTGGACCTGATCTGGCAGCTCGACTTCAGTCACTTACCCATCACAGTAATCGCTCTTTTCTATAAACACTTTCATGGTAATTTTTTGGGTGTACTCTTCACTACAGTACCAAGACTTTTTGAATTTAAGCACAGCACTAGACTGGCATCAAGATCTCATCAATTTATAGTTGAGCTGGTTAGATATATCTGTAAACACTATGCTGACAGTTTCTTTTTTCACACTTCTCACTTGTGCAACTCCCTTCTGGCTCTGTGCTTTCCAGCCAAGTTTAATCTGCAAAAATTTAAAACTAAGAAGAAAAAACAAATTAAATTAAAGAATACATGATATTGTCCTCCATTAAAACTTTGCCAAACAACGATCAAAAAGTAGGGTAAATTTGTAAAACATGTCTTCATTTTTATCTCTACAATAAAAAAAACCATACTGGGTATGACAATAAACTACATCCATGTCCTGGGTAAGATGATAAACTATGTCTAGCAGCAAGGCCTCTGATCAGGAGGTTTTGAGGAGCGGGAAACCACCTCTTAATTGCTGGTGTTCCCAGGTCCACCCTGACCTGGAGTGGTAGCACTTGTTAGAGTCCCAGCTATGGGCAAATAGTTAACCCTGAAATGGGTAAAAACACTATGAAAGTATAAAAATAGGTTTTAATACCAGAAATACTTTGTAAAAAAATTATTACAAGCAATAAATTTTTGAAGAAAAAAAAACTATTACCATTATACATTTTTGAGGAAAAAATATTACCAACAATACATTTTTGAAGTTAAAATATTACCAGAAATAGATTCTTGACAAAACAAAATATTACCAGCAATAAAAATTTTGTCAGCATTAATTAACCCACTGAGGTTGATATGCTGTAAAGCAAACCAAGCCAAAACAATAAAAACAGTGGATTTTTTCCCTTTTATGATAAACGTTAACTGTGCTCTTTTACCTTTCAGGTAACTATTATGGAGTGTGGTAATGCTAATCCTCCCAAGGATTGAACTCTTCATCCTTGGTTAAAAAATACTGCTGATTTTACCCTGTCCTACCTGTTAATTAAAAATGAGCCCATCTTTTTCCATGAGAGCTTCTAACAATTTCTTCAGAGGAGATATACTTTCCTTTGCTTCTGGAATTGATGCTGGACAATTTTACACTTTATTCAATAATCCTTACTATTTTATGATAAATATTTTCATAAAGCAGTATAATTCAGTGAAATTAAAAAGAAAAAAATCTGTATATCTTTAAAAATTAATTTACTGAAAGCAAAGCCAGAGTAATTTCTAGCAAATTAACTCATTAAATATAAGAAACATAACCTTGTCAGAAAAGCTGTTGAGATAACAAATCCAAATTTATAAATTCTTTACAAGAAATAAAAGATCACTTTTAATAAGGAATTAATATCAATAAAAGTACTTGTCTAAAATATATAAATCTGGTCTCCAATTATAAGTTTTGAGAGTCCTGAGTATTCAGTTTCATGTATTGTTTTAATTTTTTATCTGATCCCAAATTTTTAAAACTTCATTTCTTTTTATAATAAAAACAGTGAATATTTCATTTTATGATAATCTTTATTATTTCATGAAAAATATAGATGTCTTGTGGGTAGTTTAAAGGATAGTGGCTTAGAAAAAAAAATCAGCAAGTGAATTTGAAATTCCATTTGAGTTCATTATGCCCACTTTGTCAGAAATACTCTTGGGAAAGTTATGAATCCATCTTTTCTCCACCAGCTATGGGGTAAATATCAGGGCAGATTGAACTTTCTAGCCTTGCTTGGCAACCAGTTTACATGAATGTCAGTTCTGAATTCAAAACTGTTTGGTGTGCTAAGTGACAGAAGCCTTGATTGGTAATCTATCTAGAGAAGGTAATTTGAACTGTAAAAATGCACAATGCTGGAAATTCTTTAGTCATGTAAGTTTTGCAACTTGATGCAGGTGGAGGCCACATCTTCTTTTAAGATAAATATTTTCATAAACAGTGTACAATATCAAATATAAAACAAACTGACCATCATTGAAAATAAATTTACTGAAAAGAGAGCCAGATTAATTTCTTTCTGACTGGTCAATTTAATAAAAGAAACATTGTCTTGTCAAGAATCCTATATGCAGATGACGAATCCAAATTTATAAATTCTTAGCAAGAAAGAAGAAACCATTTTAGTGAGGAGTTCATATCAATCAAAATATCTTTACATCTGTAATGTAATACAAAAAATAAATAATTTTGCATCCCAGTCCAGTGGAAGATGACAGTCGACTGATCAATACTGGTGCTTGCTCAATTGAATATATTATCTAGGCCATATGGATAAAGAATCATTTCTTGCTGAAGCCTGTCATACAGAGAAAGTCTAGTGGGGTTATATTCAGACAAGATAAAACTCAAGGTTGATCTGATGTGACACCACAAACAGACAGAAGGATCTCTCACAGCTATTCCTGTATTCATTCTGCACTTGACAGTATTTTCTTTGTTTTCAATTTGCTTGGTTGAGGATTGATCAATGCTTTTATCTATGGTCAAAATAAGACACAGATATGAAAATACTATTATTCTGTCACTTTTTTTTTGTGTACATATATGACAGACTAAAAGTTTGGGGACGCACTCTAGATTTCAAAGAATCTGCTAAAAACTGAAGGTTTTATGCCTTTTTTAAAATTAATTTATTAGTTCACTTCAGGCTAGAGGGAATTAACTCAGTCATGATCACCATAGAATCTGGTGTTAATTATAAAATTTTAAGTAAAAACCAGTATTAATTAGAGGTTCCTATTTCTAACCCATTAGTGAGGTAATACTCATAAATTGGTCAAAATCTATCTTAATCTTGTAAATTTCATTTAGACAAAGAATTAAAAGACAGAATTATTTCCTTAAACTAAAAGTTGTTTAACATCTCTTTTAAATAATAAGATTAAATTATCTTTTAGTTATTAACAGTATGACTATTACAAGATATGTTGTATCTTTTTCTTTGTACCATGTCCTTTCATGATGTTGCTGATATAGGTCTTCACAACTTCCTGCCCTTTGTAGCTCTGAGTAAAATTTGACTTCCAAATCTCTGTTCTGCCAACCGTTTATGCAATCTCATTAGGTAGGTTTTGTCTGCTTTTCTGTGTCCCTCTTGATTTCAATTTGTCCTGTGTGTGTCGAATTTTGCAAGCCCTCTTTCCTCATTATGTGCACTAAAAATTTCAACTGTCTCTTTCTGATGTCTCTTTCTATAAGTGTCCTTTTTGTTTCCATTTTCCCTAAAACTTTGTTGTTGATCACATGTTCAGTCCGTGGTATTCTCAGCATCCTTTGACAGAATCACATGTTTTGTACAATGTTATATAATGTATCTTATATTAAACA